GAGAGAGAGAGAGAAAGTCAAATAACAGAGTGAGCATTGCTTAATCTGATCCAGCTAAATAGGACAAAAAAATAGAAGCGATTTTCTGTAGTTTTGTGGCTGAAAAGTAGTGTAATCTCTTGATAGTGCTGCAAAAATTTTCAAGTCGATACTTTGCAGGATCTATTGTTGCTGGTCACAGGATCCAAGACTACCTAGAGGTTGTATCAATGCTAGGTATCTACTAGATGTCTTAGACAATGATCAGCACCATGTACGAACCTGTTGCATTGGTATAATATAAAATGTTAAGCGAAAGTTGGACACAAATGAGTCTAAGCCTATGAGGACATCCTTGGCGGAATGTTTGAGCACACTTGCTTTGGAATTTTGGTTAGCCGGTTGATATAACTTGTTCGTAGAGTTATCACAAGTTTAATGGCCTCTACCTGCAATTTTGATTGCTGTTATCAAGAGTGACGTGCCATTGACATGGATCAATCAGGATAGACACTTAAGGTGGATTGATATTGATGGTTTAGATATGAAGTAAAACTTATAACAAAATAATTAGTACTTGATGTCAAAATAACAATGTTATTTTCCAATTTGTTTGGGTACTTGCAAAAGCCCACCTCGTGGCAGGAAAATGGATGGTCACCGCTTGTGGGCTAAAGCTTGTCTACACCTATGAGACAGCCCACCTCCTCGAAAGCCCAATAGAATGTACTTTAGACATCATGGCCTCTTAGAGGAATTATATATAATTCAAAATTGAGAGAGATGGGTTACTTGCATTCTCATTTTCATTCTCTCCCTTTGCTGGAGTTTGAAGAAGGACTCCTTGCTAGTTTCTCTCACTCTCTCTAAAGGTCAAACCACCACTGAAGTATCTCTGTCCAAAGTCGAACCACCATTAGAGTTTCTTAATCCAAAACTTGATTTGAGGTTTTAGTACAAGGCAATCAGTTGTAAATGTCATCCATCGTCTTTTTGGGGGTGCAAAGTGCAAACCAAAGAGAGGACACAGTGCCCCATGAAGCTAGGTTGCAGCCTGAGGATAGCCATAACTCAGTTTCATCATGAGAAATCAAGTCAAGGGTGTTAAATACCTTGAACATAGTGAAGACATCTTGTGCCTCTGGGTCTAAGTTGAGCACAGTGCACACTTACCATTATTTGTATTTTCTCGGTCTTGCAGGTTGGTTTTGTTCGGTATTGGATATAATTTTTCTCATGGCATTGTGACTGGAGCATCTATTCCACCATTAAAACTAGAGCGTCATGCTCTTTGAGCTTTAAGCTCAGTCATATTCCCTAAAGCAAATAACCTAATGGAATTGTCGGCATGGCCCCTGATCCGCCATTAAAAATAAAAAGTTATTGACCTAATATCATTTTCAAAAAAGCATCTGATCTGCCGTAAAGAGACAGCAATACACTTAAAAGCCAGTGATGCACTACAGACCTAGTGATACAATTAGGATGAAGCAATGCAGTTGAGAACAAACGATGCATTTAAGACCAGCAATGCAAATAATAGCCAGCAAAACAAGAGTCAACAATGCACACAGAGCCAGCAATGCAGTTAAGAGATAGCAATGCCCTTAAGAGCCAGCAAAGTAGTTGAGAACCAGTGATGCAGTTAAAAACCAGCGACACTTAACAGAAAGAATCATCGTTAAGAACTGTATAACTCTCCATTGAGTCTTAATGTCAAACTTTTAATTCCTTTGCGGAACCCTTTCTGTCTTAAGAACATTAAGATGACTTTGGAGCCAAGCAAGACCCAAAGACTGGTTTTCTAGGACCCTAAAACCAGCAAATTACCAATGATATAAATATTTCCTGGGTATTGAAGTACTAGGTTCCAAAAATGATTTGTTCTTTCCAAATGTAAATACGACATGAACCAAAGGATAGCTGTTAAATCTAGTAAGTTTATGATGAAATCTGAACCCAAGAGGAGCAACTAGACAATCCTACTGGGTATTAGAACTAAGTAGGTACTCTAATCTACAAAAGAATTAACTACACTAATATTGCATATGTTGACAGTATCATAGATCAATTTGTGGAATGACCAAGGAAGCCTCATAGGAGGTATATAAATCTAATCCAAGGAGAGAAATTTTTCTAGATCGGAGCAGTACTGTTTTTTCGGCTCAGCAATGAGAGTCGGAAAGACGCCCAAATGACAAGAAATGACTACAGGATACCGTCTTCATTAGAAGGAATGTAAATGGGAGAAAAGTAATAAATACAGTACAACGACTATTCTAGTATTGAAGAATTATACTGCTAAGTGGACCCTGACCATGAGCTAGTGTATGTGGAAGCATTAGAAAAGGTTTTGAGGTTTAGAGCTCCCGAGCCCATGGAATCAATCCATGACACAAAGATGCCATTACTTTTGTATCTAATCGTGTCTCTCAAACTGACTTTCACATTCATAAGAGAAAATATTTTCATTGCACTAGCAAGATATACTTGAGAAAAGAGCAGCTGACAGATATTTTCACCATAGTATTTGAAAATGACAATTTCCATAATATTGCGAACAAAATACTTCGGACGCACTTACTATGGGGGAATGCAGGCAATGCCTGCATGAGCTACCCACCATCCAACATAGTCGGATGATAGTGAATGAAAGACTAACTTAGTTGGATGGTAGTGATTGAAAGATAGTCTTTCAATCGCCACCATCCAACTAAGTTCGATGGTGGGTAGCACATATAAACTTTTTCCAAATTCTTTTTGATGTATGATAAGATTAGGTGGTAATTGGATATTCTTTGTCGCAGCACAAATAAATGAACAAGTAATAGTCGCGAAAAATATTTTCAAATAGAATACAACCCAGTAATGTAACATCTATTTCAGCCAATGGCTTCTTATGATAAGATGCAACTTCTTCATATTTGTAATTCTTTGCTTTAAACAAAAACTGGCTCACAAGTACAAATTGAATGGACTTCTGGCACCCAAGTCAACCAGAAATAGACATCCAGATCAGGTTAGAAGGTTGTAATACAAATTCAATATTGAAAATGCTAACCCTTGCTGCATATGAGAACCATACCAAAATAAAAAATAAAAAATAAAAATGACAAATCTCTAACATACAGCAGAAAGAAACACCAAAGGACAAACCAAATAAATGGCTTCAAAGTAAAGAACAAGGAAAATAAAACCAATAAAGACATACAGGTTTGACTCACCTCCCATCAGAACTCCCCGTAGCCAATAGAAGCATAGGATTTGAGTCTACCATACAGATCCCCCAGCTGATTGCAGTGATCCACGAATTATGAGCCTCGAGAAGTCCAATGAACATCACATCCAAAGAAATCTTTGAATTCTCAATGGCGTATGCTCGTGGCTCAGCAGTTCTCCAGAAGCATACTTTGCCGGACTTTCCCCCAACGGCCAGTACAGTACAGTTACTTGAAGAGCTCTTATGAAGATCAGGGTCACTTTCAGTTGATGATCGTATTAATGGTGACCAGGCAACAATTAATGATGACAACAAAGCCATGCGAGAAGCATACTGTTCAGCTGTTATTAACGAATTACTTCCTCCTCTCTTGAGTGACTCTTCTTCTGAGGTCAATGGAAGATTTTGCACTTGGCTATTCAAAAAACTAACAGGATTCAGATTGATAGCCTGCAACATAACAGAGAAACTTAGCTATAGAAGAATAGCTGAGCCTCTGAACCATAAATGATTATTCCATTATGAAAAATTGGCGACAAAACATTTCAATGAGAAGACCTACAGTAGATGTGGCCTGTTCCTCAAGACCAATCCTTACTACTGTAACCTGCCACGAGTTTTTATCAATCCTCCAGATTGGAGCCAGACGAACATTCTCAGGGATTAATGCTATAGTTCCAGAATCACCTGCAGCATAAATTTGCAAGCACCACTCATAAAATTAAAAATAGAGTTGTAACTCAGGCGGTGAGGAAAGAAAACTTCTGGTCAACAGGGAAGGTAGAAAGGATCCTAAGGCATGCCAATTTGATGCAGGAGAAACTGCCTCGTCAACATCATCATCATCATCATCCAAGCCTTATCCAATTTATAGAAACAACCTCGTATTTTTAAATTTTTCATATTAAACTTGAAGGATGTATTTTTGGGGAATTTTCAGTGTTTATTTTTCGAGTTTTTATGGATTTTAGGGCTTTTTTAGTTTTTTAGGTTTTTTCTTAATTGTTTGGAAAAGTAGTTAGAATATTTATGAAAATATTTATTTTATCAAGGGTAAAAATGTTGTTACAAATATTGCATTTAAGCTAAGACTATTTAGTCAATTTTGTATTTGGGTAAAGCTAATTTGGACTGTGCACCTCAATTAAATATGAATAGAGGTGCATGGGGCTTTATGGCTCACTCCTATGAGTTTTAGAGAGAAAAAGAAGCTTTAAGCGGCTGAGAAACATCCAGTTTATTCAGTGGGTTGCTTGTATTTGGCCTGAATTTTTCTGATTTTTTGTTCTTCGAATTTTCTACATCAATTTGATATCAAAGCTAGGATTTCTTCAACAATAGCGCCAAGAAACTACAGTTAAATCTAAGTTTTGAAGATTGGGCCAAGTTTTGCCAAATTTAGCCTAGATCTTGCTAATTTCAAAGAGTTTCGTTGATTTCCTAACTAGGATTTGTAATTTTGATGAACCCATTGCAACAAGAAAGAGGTTTTTTGTAGACCCACTACATCCCGGAGATGAAGAGATTAAGGACCTTAAAAGGCAAGTTCAGCAACTGGTATAGCAGATCACAAGTAACAATCATGGTCAAGATGGTGATCTTTCAGCCCAAGAAGATCTCGAGTATAACCCTTTTCACAGCCGCGCTCCCATGTGGAGTCGGGTGATGAAGACAGTGACAAAAGGCCTTGACATGGGGTACATCACTCTAGGGATGTTGATTTGAAGGTGGATAAACATGATTTTGACAGTAAACCAAAACTAGAGGAGGTTATAAGGAGAGCTCCAAAACTAAACAAGTAAAAATTATTGTCAAAGTTGAAGGTGCCTCGACATGATAGGAACAACGTAGGGCTAGAAGGGAGAGAATGGGAAAGCCTAATATTAATACTTGGGAGAAGATGAAAAAGAAACTAAACGAGAAATACACATATGAAAATTATCTGCAGCCCCTTATCATCAGATGAATACCATTCGTCAAGGAGTAAAAAGTGTGGAAGAGTACAATGAATTTCATGAGTTGATTCTTCGAAGTAATGTGGTTCAAAGAGAGGAACAGTCCCCAACTCGCTATATAGGTGGCCTGGGAACCTCTATACAAGATGTGGTAGTGCTGAAACATTGTTGGACTTTAGATGAAGTTTACAACCATACAGTTAAGGTTGAAGCTCAGCAAAAGCATCCATCATCAAGGTGGGATGCAGCCTAGGAAGATGCAAGTGGCTGTGGAAACAATTTTAGAGGAAAAAGTGGAAATTTGGTGGCTAGACAGACCTCGTGGCCTGCTGGTTTATCCAAACAGCAGATACTCTGGGTGTTAGGGGCTGTTCTGGTTGCCCGAATCGCCCAAACAGAAATGTTATAAAGTGCTTTAAGTGTTTGGGAATTGGACACCTCTCTTCTTAACCAAACAGAAAATTTGTGAAGAGTACAGCAAGCCATCATTTGACTGAGACACTGTTTATGATGAGGAACCTTTTTATAGAGTTAATGATCCTATCTTTGATGAGGGTCCTCTCTTTGATGATGATTTAGTGGGTGATATCTGTGGAGAACAAGACGAAGTACTCCATGGAAGATCAATAGGTGGGGTTGCTCGTTCAGTCATTGAATCTGTGGGCTCATCATGAAGATGCTATCCTAGTTTGTTGATGAGTTGAAGTGCTGAACCAAACATATGTATCACAACTACTCCACTGACATACAAAGACCCTTTTCCTCAATTTGTCCTCAAAAGAGTTTATATCAGTTGATTGTAATTTGCAAAGACTATGTTTCAATGCACAATGGCTATATCTTTATCAGGCCAATAACCCGCAGGCTCCAGGATTCAAGGCCCATTGTTCAATTTGAAGCTGTTTGGAAAAGTAGTTGGAGTACTTTTGAAATTATTTATTTTATCAGGAGAAAAAATGTCATTACACAAATTTGGTGTCTAAATTGGACAATAGTCAGTTTTGTTAATGGCTAAAGCTAATTTGGACTTTGTACCGCAATTAAAATATAAATAGTGGTGTGTGGAGCCATTATGGTTCATTCACGTGTGTTATAGAGAAAGAAAAGAAGCTTTAAGCTTGGTGAGCCCTGGTTAGATTTCGTGGGGAAGAAATTTCAAGTTTCTTCGGTTGGTTGCTTGTGCTTGGCCTGAATCATTGCTGATTTTCTGTTCTTCAAATTTTCTACATCACAATCCCCTATGCCCTAATTTTGAATCTAGTTGTTGCTTTCCTTCAACAATAGGAAAAATACTTAAATATAACCAAGATAAATTACAAACATAACTCAAAAGCCGAGGGGAATCAACATAACTTTTTCTCAACAAACCCCCTTAAAGGAACTTTTTGAACGAAGAAATCCTCCGCACTTTTCTACTCATGATTACATAGACGAGTGAATTTAAGATTGGCCTGAATTAGCCAGTCAGACAAACAAGAAGAATTTTGGGTTGCAAAGTTTATGTTTGGCCTTAACCCAAAATATTAGTCCATCCATGGACATATCTTAGCCAATAATGAACTTCCATAACTTAATCAGATGTACTCTTTCATCAGATATATTACTATTTCTACACCTTCATATGCCTCAGTATTGGTGTTGGGCCTGCCTTATAACTACATCTGTGGGTAAAGGTGATGGAGGCAGAGATGATGGTCCTTGTTACCAGGATCGGGATCAGGAGCAGTTCCGAGATTAGATTAGGTACTAGAGATTGTGAAAGGCTAAAAGGTCCCTGGTTTTGGGATCACTATCCATGCACCCCAAAATTTATGGAGCAAGATCCCAATTTGTTGAGGAGCGTGATCCCAACTTCTAGGAATCAAATGATAAGTTCTACATGTGTGAGCTCCATCTGGTTAAAAATCAAGGTCCTCGAGCACACTTAATTACTGTTCCCTAGGTTGGAAGCCATATAATACTATAGATAATTAATTATTTTTAAAAAATAATATTTTATTAAAAATGCAAAAGATTCAATCATTAAGTAATAATTTGCTATGTTTTGTACTCCTTTGAGGGCAGCTTATATGTTAATTAAGTAATAAAAAGTTTTAGAGAAATTGAAATTTTATTATAAAATTGAATCATTATATCATCATCATCATCCAAGTCTTTTTCCAACTATTTGGGGTTGGCTATACATTTTGTTCTGCCACTCCGCTCAATAGTGCCACCTTCAACCAAACCATAGGTTACCATATGTTTTCTCATTACTTTCACCCATGTTCTTTGGGGCGTTCCCGTTGTCCTTTTAGAGCTTTCAACTTGCACCAAATCACCCCTCCTTACCAGTGTTGTTCTAGGTCGATGCTACATATGACCTGACCACCTAAATCTACTTTCCCTCATTTTATCGCCTATTGGAGCTACTCCTAAGTTCTTTCGAATATATGCATCCAAGTTCCATCCATCCTTGTCCTACCACTCATCTATCTCAACATCCTCATCTTAGCTACACTCATTCTATGGATATGTTATTTCTTGATTGTCCAAAATTCCATCGCATAAAGCATGGTCGGTCTTAAATTGAATCATTATATGTCATTTTTATTTTTGTGTCCTTTGAGTGTAGTTTATGACTTAATGAAATGTAATAACAATCATGGGCATCCTAATTCGTTGAATAAAAAATCTTAAGATAAGTATTAAGTTGAAGCGTACCGTCGAAATTCATCATAAGACCTTTATCACTGTAACCAATAAATACGCCTTCTACCCACCTGCATTTTTACAAATAGTACAATAAAGAAGAATGTACGCAATTGCAAATAATAGAGATCAATAATTTGATGTAATTGAAAATAATAGATATCAATAATTTGATCAACTATAACAAAGAATCCTGATTTCTCCAACCATGCAACGGCAAAAGGATATTGATGAAAAAAAACATTCATAAAGAAAGCCATTCTTTCGTGTATTACACAGTACTAAAGAACCACATTTTCTCCTACATGAGGAAAGAATAAAAAAAAACAGTGACAGAATTTAAAAGAATGGTGGTTAGCCACAAACATTGCAAGAAATAAAAAATCCAAGGTCCAATTATCAACTGCAGTTCAAAAATTCATCTCAATCATAACAACAAAAATACAAGTCAACTGTATTTTCAAATAAACTCCAAGGTACAACTGGAGTACCTCGGGAACTAAAATGAAAACAAAATAGCAAATCATCTGCTGTGAATTACAAACCCAATGATGAAATCATACACATATCATATGTGACTAAAAGAAGATGACTTGGGTTTGTGTACATGGGGTAACTCAATGAGATCATCTCCTTTCGAAATATCCCTAATGTCCACGGTTATTTCCACAAAAATATTTTAATAAAACGAAAATAATTGCAATTGCAACATTTATTCTCCACTACGATCCTAATGAATTCTCAGAAACACCCAAGGCAGGAAGAGTAACCATAATGATTCAAGAAAATAAACTGAGTGGAACACCAATAGTTCTGTATATAAAACTTCATTTTCTTGCTTGTTAAAGTCTTCTTTACATAATACAATCAATACTTTCACATGTTTACTGATTCAATGCTATCTCCACAGCAACAGCCTTCAAAGTTTTATCCAGTTACCATATATACATGAAAAGATATGACTCAAACATATATACATATCTATATATATATATATATTTTTATTTCTTCTTTTTTTGGGGTAGGGGGTAAGTCAATACTATATAATTTAAATTAGCAAGGGCAAGTAGAACTTATAAGTAACTTTCTCGTAAAGTGTGTGTATGTGTGTATATATATATAGAGAGAGAGAGAGAAGAGAGAGCATAATTTTCCTAACAAACCTTGAAAGCCTAGCTCTGATTCAATCTGCAACCAAGTGCTTTTACACTACGCTATAGGCTACATCCTACATCAGTTTATGCAAGTATGTGCATCACACAATTCTGCATGCCTAGAATATATGTACCTATTACTTATCCATGCTTCAATAGGCTCTCCAATTCTTAGAACCTCAGATATTCCTTGTTCATGTTCAGCCACAAAAATCTCTCGTGGTAAATGACCCAAACCAATCAAAGGGCGTATACTCTTCAAAAAAGGACTCCTACCAGTTGGGATGCAGTCTGGAATCCTCAGCTCTTTAATAGCATCAGATTCCGGGTTCAAGGTAACCAATTCATCTTCTGGCTCTGGATTACAAGAAACGATCAACAGACAATGAAGAAAACTATCGTAAGGAGAACCAACTCGACCATAAATCATTAAAGCATACCATCAGAAGTAGTTCCTGCAAATCGTACTAGTGCATTTCCATTCTCTATACGCTCTATTCTGCCACCAACCCAAATGCGTTGAACACCATTTTGTTTCAGAACCTGTCAAGATACAAAGCAGGCAAATATATAGGATAGAGCAAAAACCAATCTGGAACACATAACAAGTGGAAAAGAATTACCTCAACAGATGTTCCTACTTCAAAGATGGCTGAAACGAAGATCATTTCAGTGGAGACAGTCATTACTTTTACATCAGCATGAGATAAATTGTGCTTCACAACTCTTGAGCACTTTAAACTGTACCAATTTTGAACAATGAGTCAATAATTTTGCATCAGCATGAAATAAATTGTGCTTTACGACTCTTGAACACTTTAAACTGTATCAATTCTGAACAATGAAGAGCTTAAAATTTCAAGCAATAGTACTCAGGCGAATTTGCAATGGACTGACACAGGGTGATCCAAATATTTGCATAATCTATAAGAGTGCCAAAACAGCAAGAACACTAGTTTACGTAAGTTACAATCAAATTATTCACTATTAAACTATGAATATCAATTGAAGACATATGAAGACGTACTAGGTCATTTGTACCATAAAAAATGCAAGCTACACTAACTCAAGCCAATATTCGCATGTGTTCAAACAGTAACTGTGGGGATAAAGAGATGGCTTAATGTGATTTAATTCTAGATTCCTTTGTTTTCTTCTTCTATCAGTGATGATGCATTAAGTGGATGAAATTGGTCAGATGTCATTACATCAGATTTTAACGAGGTATAACCAGAACATATGATCTGCACATAATACATTATCAGAAAAAACATATGCCACTAAATCCCCACCTGCCTAATGAAGCCAATACCACACGCCCCACTGCTATGTAAACACAATGCATGTGTTTTTCAGTTCAAAATCCCAGAAACCTCGGCTAAACTTTTCTTTTTTAAAATTTACTATGGGAAGTTCTTAATGCCACTTAAAAATCCCACTTGCCACCCCCAACCTGCTGAAAATAATTGACTGACACCCCTCTTAATGTACTAAGGGTGTCATTGTAGGGAAAATGAAAAGGAAAAGGGGAAGAGAGGGGAACATTGAACCAGTACACTACTCATGGGTATATTTTGTAATTTTCCAAGTTAAAAACCCTATGTTAAACTTAAATGCCTTTAAAGTTTGTTACCATGCAGCACTTCAAAAGACAACTCTTAAGTCAAACTGAACCTCCAAATCCACCTTGACACCTTTAAAAATAGCTTCTAAGATCACCATAAGGCATTCTATAATAAAACAAATGCTTCACTACTCCTTTCCTCATTACATAATTACTTCTTCCACCACAAGCTGCCTATGCATTTTCCCTCTAGCCCCTACAAACCCATCATTTGCTACCCTCTTCCCAAACTACCAGTGCACATACCACTAGATCCAAATAAACATCCTTGAGTCCCAAATTTTAAGCCTCTACCAACTTTAAAATTACACAAATATGTCAAATGGCATAAAGTGGCACCTAGGCAGCTGCGTTGCGTTTGAGGCAGTCAAAGCTAAAAGGACAAAATAAAATAAACCCTAAATAGTTTTTGTTCGTCAGCCACCAAAGAGACCATGGCAGCCATCTAGGTGGGTATCAAGGTTGTTCCTAGGTGCCCACCTTAGGCTAGTAGGTCCGTCCAATGCACAAATGATACGGCCCACCCCCTTAGAGTCAGTGCCAACACAATGAAGTGGATGCTGCATAACACAATCACATACCACTAATCATAGCAAATGAAACTGAGGCCTCTCGCCTTTACCACCCCACAAGAAGTACCCTCTGGTCACTCATATGGTCAACCACTGGCAACAGCCAAAAAAGTCTTAAAAAGGAAAAAGAAAAAAGAAAGAAGAAAGAAATTTGACCCTGCATAATACTGACATCCTCTCAAATACCTCTCCACACACACAATAATAAACCCAAATGAGAGATAGGGAATCAAAACCCCTCAACATCCCAACCTCATAAAGTATCTGAGATGTCAAAAGCTCCACTGCCACCCCTAGTCCACAAAAAGGAGGTGCTCAAAAACAGCTTACAACGAAGGTGCTACATTACAAGTTTGCCGCATCAATAATAAAGGTGGACATTGTACAAATGTGCATCCTCTATGAAAAGCTCATTAGAAGGACAAGTCTAGTACAACAAAAATAAAATAGATTGTCCGAGGTGCAACAACCAAGTGAAACAATAAATACGAACTTCATTAACCAATCTGATAGCCAATGTTAAGTTGTTTCTCTGCAAATCTTACTAATTTAGACCATGAGGGTAAAGAAGAGTGGATGAGAAAGTATTTAGAAGTTATAGAAATTTAGATGAAATAAACCGACAAAACAAGAAATTTTGTTGGGCATACAATTTAATAGGATGCTCAGAGTTTACTTTGGTGTGACCATCCACTGTGACAAAGTTAACATTTGTTGGCTCCTGCAAAAATAAGATGAATAAATTACCTTACAGGTCCATCAGTATTAACTAGATAATTACAAGAAAAAAAATCTACTCTTTTTATTTTATAGAAAATCAAAAACCTAGTGTAACTCATTAAGCAGTAGAACTTACAAGAGAGCGTTTAGCGGATTCCATGTTAAGTTCACCAAAGTTGCTACTTGCACAATAACCAAACAACAGGTCTGATAGGTCTTTCACCTATTGATGATCAAAGCCAATAATGGAAGTTTATATTGTACTGAAGGAAAAGCAATTCGCAATTTGTGCTACAATGTGCCTTTCAAAAAACGGAGAGTAAAAAAATTCTGCAACGATTTAACTTTAACTAAAGTAAGCACTCAATGAATCCATATAACTCATTTATGTAGCATTAAGGGTGTTGTTTTATGTAAAACAAATATATTATGGCCATTCTCATGCATATCCTATTAATATAATTATTTGTCATCTTAACTATGTCTATAAAACTCCAAAAGTATTGTACCATCGTGGTAAAAAATTTCATGGTATTAAAGTCATCCTCAAAATTATCGGAGCTACCGGTTATAGCCCTACAATGAAATAAAAGTTGGGAAGAAGTCACCTGTAAAGTTTTTATTTCTAGTTCAAAGAGATTCAAGCAGCCTTCCTCCTCAATTCTGGCATGATATCTTTCCATATACATCGAGCTTCCCAACTTCTACAATCTCCTTTTCACTTGAGCCAAATATTTTACTGGTCCCACATGATCTCTCTCTTCTCACTCACAAGATCCTTTTCTTTTCCCTCACATAATTTGTCTCTCATTCCGCTATTGTAACTCCAGAGTCTTGACCCTCCTACTCTTTTCCACTCACTGTAAAATTTTGTAAAACTTCACTCCCCCACTCCCCTTCAACTCTACCTCAACAAAGCTAAACCCTAAACCACAAAACCAAAATCCTACCTCCAAATAAAATTAAAAAATTAAAATAAAGTCAACCAAGTATAGATGAGGAAAACCCTACAATAAAAAAAGAAAGCAGCAGCCCGTTTCTTCTACTACAAATCTTCCATATAATTTTTAACATATTTTTCTAAAGGATGATTTGTGTCCTAGTCAGATCCAGTTGTAGAATGGTTCAGAGATTATTAGTACCTTCAAAGAGCTGGTTCTTGTTCTTGTGGAGTAGAATCACCAGTATTAAGGCAACCTCTCCAATTCAACCATTATTATGTGTCCTTATTTCAAATTCCTGCTTTTGTGGTAAACATATTGTACAAGCTTTAGTTGATATTCCCTTGGACAGGGAGTAGTGAAGGCCACAAATTCCTACCTAATAAGATGGGAAGAGGTGTAATACCCACTAAAGAGAGCAACTTGGGATCTGCTAACTCTAAACCCCCAAGAGAACTTTGTTCTGCAAGTGGGTTTGGAGATTGGAAGGTAAGGGTGGTTGACGTTTCAAAAAAGAAGGATGATCCCCCATATACAAATACCCTCAAGGCCAAGATTGGCCTCAGTTGTGGATGGGACTGTGTGGTCCAGAGAACTGCCAGAGTGTCAAATTATCAAATGTATGGAGAGGGATTATAGAGGTTATTAGGGAGTTCTAACAAGCCATTGCATTCGTAGTCAGGAATAGAGAAGTTCAATTTGGACACAATATTTAGTGCGGGGTTAGAGACCATTGTCCTGACATAGCAAGTCTAGGAGTGACTCATGATGCACTGCTGGTGAAGTACTTCGAGAGGAACAAGAGAGACAATGTTTTGGATTCCCATATCCTAAAGGAATCTCAAAGTATTTACCCAAAAAAAAAAGGAACCTCAGGTCCCCATATTTCCAGTTAATAGATCTCATCCAGTGCTTGACCAAGATCTATATTCCGAGAATGGATGAGACTAGGATAATTACAGCTTGGCTGACTAAAACCATCATCGCCTCAAAGTCAAGTACTCAAGGTCTCGAGACTCCGATAATCATCATTCCCAGCGCAATTGATACATAATATACTAGTTTCAATGAGATTCCAGACCTTTGGATGGCTTGTGCATTGGAACAATATTCTAGGACTATGTTCAGAAACAAAATAAAAGAAAATACTCTGAGGAATACCCATATCCAGTAGTGTAGGATCTCCTACAGTGTGGCACCCAGATGGCTTGGTGTCTACCTCTCAACGCACACCAACTCTTCAGAGTTGTGACTTCCTCCCACTGGGCTCCTTGTGCATAATTTTAGTGGACGTTATATGGGCAACACAGGTCATCTGAAATTTAGATGTCATTGTCCAGTAATTGTTTTGACCTTGTCTATGGAGAGCATCTTCAACTAATTCCAATTCTAATTTATCAAAAAGGTTAAATTCTCCTTAGAATTCTAAATCAGAATTTGTTTAAAAATCAAAAGAAAAGGAACATTTATTTTGGAGTTTCAACCATCAAAGGTGCTACACTTTAGCAGGATCTAAACATAACTAGGGCATGAGTCCAGTTGAGAATGTGCTTAACATTGTTCTGACTAACATTATTTTCTATAAAAAATAGTTCTAATTACCATATTATGTGTTTCATCAAGTCACAAAAAGATTATCCTAATCCTTGAATATTTAATTTACCTTCTTTTCATAGATATCCACGAGGATTTTAGTGTCTAAAAATACAGAATATACTTGCTCAATTACATGACGAGCTATTTGGCAATTTAAGGCATTGCCTATCGGAACGCAGACTAACAGTCCTCCCCCTTGTATGTCTCAAAACCTTTTTTACAAACCAATGTAAAGGAAGAAAAAAAGAGTAAGCAAAGTAAACCATGCACCTCAATCCACTCAGCACGAAAATCATAATAAGGCGCATGATAAAGCTTTACACGACCATCTGTTGTGCAGACAGCAAGCAAGCATCTGCAGAATGTTGAACATCATATTAACTGCTTTGTGAGTAAATGTGCAATAATAATCTATATAAAACAATTCATTTGATCCAAATTTATTTCACAACTTCTTCATAATCCAAAGCATCAAAATCCCCATAAAGGATTGAAGAAATGATGATTACCCTGAATTAGGAGCCATTCCTTGAGGAGACCATGATATGGATCGTACACATGGACGCACATCACGGGATAGGCATGCATGCATCAGGCATGAAGTGAATAAATCTGTGTACGTGTCAATACCAACCATATATTATGAGGACCTATGATAAATACGAGAGAGAGAGTCTGACTCATGTAATAAATACAAAACTGAAAGATTTCATGCAGCTTCTGAGCATTATTCGCAGACTCGTCATGTCGAGTAAGCTTCAATGGAGACCAATATAAATAACTAGGCAAGACAATGAGGTTCTCTCAATAGCAAGACACCTTGCTGCCCAAAGCCAAACATTTGTTGGATACAAAACTGTAAGCATTTATTTAAGTCCTGAGCATAATTCACAAACTCGCCAATTCGACTCAGATTCATGAGAAACCAATGTATTACTACATATTACATACAATTCCAAGGTTTTGCCAGTCAATATAACTAGTTAGCCAAAACCTAAGCCCTTCATTGAATACTTGATTACTAGGCTAGAGGCATATCATTCAAGTTGTGAGAGCAGGTTGTAGTTTGCTAAGTCCATTTAGACTTGTGTGAAAGCAGGTCACATAAAACTATGATACTGTTACTCAACCAACTCGAGACAGAGAGCTGACTAAAGATGCAACCAAATCTTTAGTGAACTCCTGCAACTTGCCTGAGCCATTAGAGAAAGGAGACTATAAATGTCTTATTTTCAAACAAGAGCCACTCCCCAATTCCTGTGATTACATAGACCTTTCTCTATTGCAATATTCTTCCTAACATTATCAAAATGGGACTATTACCTTGAAACTCATAGTAACATAGCACCCGTAACATTTGAAATAATGCTAGTCTTTTCCACATGAAATTACAAAGAATAACTCACCCTATTTTAATCGTGCCAAGTGACGATAGGCTAGAGCAGTGAAATTCTCATGGCATCTCTTCCTAAGGCAAACTGTGTTAAAAAAAACATCTCAAACAGTATGTATATTTGGGTCCAGTTTTGGCACAGCCCCAGCAGCACCAAAACAGTGTGCACCCATCCACCTCACAGAAATCCAAGTTTTCAGGGATTCAAGACCCAAAGGCCTTCCTAAAGACCTGTCAATCCATTTGCACTCTAAGAAAATGTATTTGGAGCTCCTAAAATGGTGGAAATCAGAATCCAAGGTCCACTGAAATGGATGGGGCCCAAATAAGATGTTCAAATCATAGTTATCGAGATCACACCAGCCACAAACTGGTGAGGTGTCTGGTCCAATCAAAACCAGTTCGACCGTTGATCGAACTAATTGGACCATATTTTTAAAATATAAGAATAATAATTTAAAAATAAAAATATATTTCAACTTTGTTTTGTTGGTCAAACTAGTCAAAACCTGACGGTCTGACTGCCCAAAACTGGTCAAACACTGACTTTGACCAATTTTCAACAAAACTAAGCTGTAAAACGCACCAACCAAGGCACCAATCGGCAGTTCAACTGGTCAAATTGGGTTGTCCGGCCTGCTCTTGATAACTTTGGTTGAGATAACAATTGTCAAAAAAATAAACTGTGGTTGAGATAGCAATTGTCAAAAAAAAAAACTTTGGTTGAGATAGCACTCAAGAGAGCAATTTTTAAGGCTCCAATTCCATTTTTGTTAAGATCTCGACATTGGAAGTTAATAGGATGGATCTGTAAAACTTTGGGTCCTCAATCTAACATTTTCATTGAAACGCCAAACATTTTTACTATATTTTCACAAGTTTTACCACTTCAGCTAGGAAACCCCAAACAATAACCCCCTTACTTAACAGGTCTCTAGCTAAAACAAACAGAGAGAGATCAAAATTAAGAGAAAAAAAGAGCTGTGACCACTCGAACTCATGAAGATCATATCTAATTTCATCATGAAACATTTCTGAAAAAATAATAATAACAACGCATTAGAAACAGTCGTAAAAAATGAAAGATATAATGTATCTTCCATCATTGAAAGAAACAAATCTTGCAACTTTAGGCCTTTTTTGGGCTACCAATGTGAACTCTACATGCACGCTTCAAATAATGCAATTGAGGTTACATATACATAATTAAGAAAACCAGCAGAACAAATAATTGAGTCAATGAATATGGGTGCATACCATTCCTTTCCACAGTTCCGACATCAAATGGGGGACCATGGGACGCAGTAATCACACCTCGAGGCCCATCTACTATAGCTGGATTCTGCCAAAAGAATATGAAATTCAAAACAATATAATTAAACAAAACAAAACAACTATTCCGCAGATTCATAAAGGAGAAATTCTATTAAGGAAGTTCCATATCAAAATGAAGACAAGCCTCCAATAACTTCTCTCTTGAATGTTGATATTCAATAAATTCAAGGTATAACTACAACATGAAGGCACTATTGATATGAAATTTTTCAAGTAAATTCCACTACCAGTATGGTAACGATATGACCGGAGGCGATAGCCACCAAATTCTCTTCGGACCAGACAACAGAATTCGGATAGAATGGAGCTCCAACCAGTGCCGCAATCTGGAAACGCGAAGACATCCTTCTCTCATTCTGCAAAAATGATCAATAACGAAATCAAGTGATATTACAGGGAGATGAGAGAGAGAGCGTGCCACCATTTTCTGGCTGAAGCCGCTGAGCTGAGAGTGATAGAGAGGGAAACAGAAATTTTGAATTCGAGTTTTACCAGTGAAATCCGCAGAGTAGAAGTTACATCGACAGAGATAATTTGAATTTGAGTTTTCACCGGCGAATACCGCAGAGTTTAAGTTGCAGGGAAGTGAAACCCTAGTGGTAGTGGTGGCGAAGTAAGTGTAGGAAAGGCTGAGGTTTTCACCAATGAGCGCGGGTTCGAATCCCAAATAGCGTAAGCCCCAACCAAACGAAAAGCAGGGGAGACGCAAAAGGTTTTATTTGACTGGTTTGGCGAACCCAAATACTTATAAAAGAAAATTAATGTTTATAAGATAAGGATGTGGTTAGCATGCGGCCAAGCCCGCACATGTCGAAGAAATACGGGGCCCTTAATAGTTTATTTTTTACACAATTTTTAGAGAATAAATAATCTTTAACGTGAATCAAATATTTATAAAAAAAAATTAATGTTTATAAGATAAGGACATGGTTAGCATGCGGCCAAGCCCGCACATATAGAAATACGGGGCCCTTAATAGTTTATTTTTTACACAATTTTTAGAGAATAAATAATCTTTAACATGGAGATTATGAATATGAAAAGATAAATAAATTTTAAAAATTAGAAATAATAATTATATTAAAAAAACATTTGGACCGTTAGATTCAATTGTTTCTAGATAGACGTGGTTAGCATGCAGCCAAGCCCGCACATGTAGAAATGCGGGGCTCTAAATAAATTTATTTTTGACATTGAATTCGATCATAACTTTTAGAGAATAAATAATCTTTAACATGGAGATCATGAATATGAAAAAAATAAATAAAATTTAAAAATTAGAAGTAATATTTATATTAAAAAAACATTTGGGCTGTTAGTTTCAATTGATTTTAGATAGACTACTTATTTGCATCCAACTTTAAAATGGGTGCTTTATACCTTTGAATCACATATTGTACAAATGCGGTCCAGCCTGCATGTAATAATTGTTCATAAGATAAAAAAGAGAGAGAAACAAATATTTATAAAAGAATAATAATGTTCATTGTGATCAATTGTCTCTTTCATGGCCATCTAGGTGAGTCTCATGATCCAAATGTTTTGGACCATTAGTTGATAGATCGGTCTAGTCTAACTTAAAAAGTAGGTTTCCAATCAAAATCATTAATGTTTTTGGTTGATCTAACCAATTGAGTTTGATTTGGTTCAACTAGTTAAATAAAGTTAAGCATCTTATTTTAATATACTAAATATTTTAAATTATTCATTTAAAAAAAATAAAAAATCATGTGATATTTATTAAATAAATGTTGTTTTTTTCTTTTCAAATATATTGAATAAACGATGTTTACAAAGAGAGCCCGTACATCTACCACAATTAATAGGTTAATATTATATTGTAAGGTTTGTTGTGTGCCATCATCATCAGAACTGTTTTCCAATTAATTAGAACCAGCTACATGAATCCTGATCCGTCATTCTGTTCTATTAAGGGTCATACCTTTAGGGGCCGTTTGGATACCTGAAAATATATTGTCTGTGAAATATATTATTGGCGTAATACATTACTTGCAAATTGATTGTTACTATTTGAGTAGTATTTAGATGCAACCTGGGAAATACATGGCTACTGTTTGGCTATGTCCGAAAGAAATATGGGAAATACATTACCAATTTTTTACCAACGCCTATAAACTATCATTTATTGTCACAATTTTTCACTTAAATGAGGAATTAAAATAATTATCACATCATTCCAAAAAGATTTTCTAATAATAACATCATCACCATTCTAAAAAGATTTTTTAATAATAACTTGTACCATTCTAAAGTCATCACACAATTTCCTACTTATTTTTCATGCATTTGGCACTAACATGCAATCACATGCATTTTAACATGATTAGACTTTGGTTTCAACATAATAAGTCATTGGAATAATATGACTGAAATAACATTTTTTTATTGTGATAAACATTATTTTTATTTATTTATTATAGAAGTCTTTCAAATGTCTATCTATATAATTTCAACTAAGCAATAAATTTATGATACCAATTAAAAACCTTTATGGTATAAGTTAAAAAATGGGAAGAAGTTTGATTAGTAACTAGAAGGTTTGGTAATTACACTATAAAATTTTGAGGTATTGGAGGAGACTAAAGATGTATTTTATTTCAATTGAGATTTTACATGAATTTTTTTTTTATGTTTGTGTTGTGTAATTTCTCGTTAATTACTAATTGTTTTTATATGAGAGGTGACGACTTTAGTATCAATTATTATTTTTATTATTTTTGTGTTTTATATGAGAGGTGATCGCTTCAGATGAGGGCTATAACCCGGGATAGACGGATGTAGAAATGGATGTGCACAGACAAAAGGAGAATGGCGCAAGATTTTTCAAACATTACCTGTCAAGGCGAGTAACAAATTTTTCACCTCTCACCACGGGTAATGTGTTTCAGGATTTTTGCGTAATATATTCCCATTTGAATCCAAACATGGAAATATCATATTTCCTTCTAATCTATTGTCAATGTAATAGATTTTCAGGTACCCTCAATTTTTTCAACCATATCCTTTTGGGCCTACCCATACCATTTTTAGCTTTCCACTTGAAGTAACTCGCACCTCCTAACAGGTATTTATCAATCTCTTTATTTTCTTGATTATTGACTCAAAATATCGAAAGTACACTCTTTTTAACCTTTCTTGGTGACCAATGTTAATTACTTCTTCATCTTTACTCATATTATTATTAAATTTGCATTCCATGTACTCTATCTTAGTCCTACTAATTTTAAAACATTTAGATTTTAGAGCATTTCATTGCAAGATTGTTGTGTAGAAGTTTCAAAACGAGTTTCTTATCTCTTTCTAAAAATGGTGCAGTTGGCATACAGATAAATCCGTAACTGTAGAGGTAAGGTGCAGCTTCAAATTTTATCATGGTATATAATTTTGGTGTAAAATGTTCTTAGGATTATCTCAAAATCTATTTTATATCTAATTATAAAATTTTAAATTTAAAAAATGATTAAAATCAAGTAGATCTATAAACATATGAAAATCTTGAAAATGGACGGTGTAGATAATATGTTGTAAAATGTACTATTTCTAAGACTTAAAATCTTTTTATTTTTCATGGTCATACATCTCGTTGTCGAGATGATCAATCAAACGGTTTTTTCAATATTAAAACTACCTTTTCGGATGGATTTTTGAAGTACATCCGTAGTTCTACATTATAAGGTTGTATCCTTTTATAAACTTTTTCCTTCTAAAAATTTCGATTCTTTAAACATTTCCAATATATGGTACGTACGATATCTCGAGTTCGAGTGGAGGGAAAAAATTTTTTTGGGTATATGGATCTATTAGAAAAGCTCTCCTAGGAAAGGGCCAACTACCAATTAATATATTAATTTTTAGGGAAAATTATAGATACCTCCATAAATCTATTTTATATACATTCAACTCCCAATTCTTTTCATATCACCTCTATAACCTAATTTATTGTTTAAAGAGTTAATAAATTAATAACTAAACTACCCTTTCAATCCTATCTCTCTGTCTTTAAATGTGCCTCACTACCGGTCCAACACACTTATGTGCCAGACTGTTTTTTTTACTATTTTTTCTATAATCCGACAAGAAATATGCCAAATAAAAAATAAATAGCAAAAAATACAGTCCGGCAGCCAGGCTAGCTTGTAGCTTTAGAAAACGGGTTTGGCTCTCTAAAGCTTCTTTGTACGAACTAGGAAGCATGATGTTCGTTTGCATACCCAAACCTCTTGCCAAACTTGCTCCGCAATGTAGAGCGCATCCCAAGCCGTGCTTTATATATATATATAT